ACAAACAGTCACAATTCAGTTATAAGATTATTTTCAACTATTTCAAGTACTGCAAGTTTCTGAATTTTGCAAGAATTCTATGTAGCAACGTGTGATTCACGGAATTGTCATATTTTCAAGATTCGACAGACCTCTGAAAGAAGTTAGATCATACAATTTTCATCTACAATGTGCAAAAAAAAAACCCACCAAATTATATTTGCATTTGGAAAAGATTAAGAATAGTTTTATATTCGTGCTAAAAATCTTTTGCAATTATTTGAAATAAAGCAAAAAAAAATGTTTCTCTCTGCCTGAAAGCAATCGAAAACAAATTTTCATTTTATTCTTTATCTATAATTTGAAAAAGATGGAAAAATGATCAAATTATTGAAAGACAGACTAAGGTTAATATTACCATCCAGTTAAATGAGTTTTCCATAAAATAACTAATCCTTAATTCACAGCCGTCAATGTACTTGCAAAACTCTCAATTCATTTTTTGTATTTACCTGATAGATAGATCATAAAAAACATACATCAAGAACTTCGATGGCAAAAACTAAATAATAAATCTGTTTTTTGTTGTTGTAGACGAATAGCAAATTGAAGAAGGAAATTTTGTTGAAAGAAAATTAAAACATATTCACACCTTTTTAAGTAAAACACACGCATATAAAGTTACGTAGATGCAACAGAATAATTATATTCATAGTAATTTATGACTATTTCAAAGATTAAAGGATTATAAGTCGAACACAATGTACATAATTTAAAACCGGTTTATTTTTTTCTAAAGATTGCATTCCGAAGTGCACATGCTTGGCTAAGATAGTTGAATGTTCAGCAAACAATATTACATGGTATGCGAATGATAGCAATAGAAAGCAAAAGAGAAAGATTTAAGTTTTGAAATCAGAGAATTCTTTAAATTAAACATTTGAAACAGATTGTTTAAGCACCAGCATGCATAATTTGAATATATATATTTAAAATTGAGAATGACTGATGTACTTACTATTCTATCTAACAATTAGCATTGGTAGTCTCGGCATCATTCTCTCCCTGGGTGCAGGAGGTCATTTCTAACGGACAGCGGACAAATAGTCACAGGACAGAAATTTACAAATTTTATAGGGCAAAAAGTCACAAATAATTTGCTGACAATTGATTGAATATATAAGAGAAAAATCTTGAAATAATTACGTTTTATTACACATTTTCTTTTTACAGTTTGGGAAATTGTTCATTGGCCTCGATAAATAAAGATTTATTAAATTTTAATTATTAAAAGAATATATTTTTTGAAGCACCATAGAGCCGTTTAGGTACCAAGCCACTTTAACATTTGTTTTTTTTTAAATGAGAAGTAACACGGTTGATATATAAAACAAATCTGCTACGAAACAGAAATATAAACTGTAAACTAGATTTATAATTATGTACATATTCTTTTAACCAATCATTTCTTAACTTATTCCATTTTATATTCTACTATAATATAGTTTATTCTTTTATTAGTTCTTGCTAAAAAAAGACTTGATGCTAAAAAAAGGTCAGAGAAGTATCAGAATCGGGTTATATAGATACTTATACTAAATATAAACTGTTATCTAGATCTTTGAAATATGCTTGAATTCTTGTTGCATTTATTTTGAGATAATGTTTAATAATTTGTTAATGTAATAATGTTATCCGGTGTGTTCTTATATATGATAAAACATGGAAATATAGTTCACTTAACTTCCATGGATAAAACAGCCACAGCGTTGCACGAGTATTTATAATTATAAAGATAGTGTTTGACAACCCGTTTCGGTTGACTGCTCAGATAATCCGTATATTGAAATGTAAATAACTCTCACCAAACATCTGTCATATGTCAAAAATTTGAAACATATAAAGTAAATGAGATACTGTGGATTCATTATTATTCGTTAGATACCAATTTTCGTGGGTTTCGTGTGTGCAGTTGAACCACGAATTCAAATGTTCAACGAATTGCAAATTTTCTGTTTGCTTTGTATGCAGAGATTGGCAAAACCACGAATTCAAATATCCACGAAAGTGCAAGTTTTCCCGAATCCACGAAAGTTGATAACCAGGAAAATAAATAAATTCACAGTACTCAGAATATATTTTCCATGACAAATGTTATATGGCTATGAACAATTATTTTAAATCACAGACGAAAATTTGTTAAGATCATTTTGGATATTTATTTCTAATCTTCTATATCTGTACAGACGGAATGAATAAATTAAATCACTTAATGCCAGAAAGCACGACTGCAAAGCTTTTATGACTTACACATTTTTCTGGTTACACCAATTATTTTTTCTTATATAACCAATTAAATGTTGACTTGAAAAAACATTGGAAAAAAATTAATTGCAAGTTTGCAAACGTTATTTGATTAAAAGACATACCTTATAACATTAAAAGACCACAAAAGAATACCCTCCATTCTTTGCCGATTTTATTCATAAAGGGGGAACAACCGCTGATAAACAGAAAAAAAGTGTCGCCCGTTTTGCATGCGATTATTTAAAATCTTAACACGACTGAACACGATCTTACAAAATCTAAATAGCATTTTTACCTTTGGTCTAATTTGATCTGAACATGATCTGATCAAGTTGTAATCGGATGTTAGCGGAATTTGTCTTGTTTATCTTGACATGACTGAACGGATTTAAGACAGTATATCGTGACAGCGTCTGAAAATCTGAAAAAAGTCTTGACGTTTTTCGCTAGCAGTAAATCCAGTCGATTAAGACTTGATCAGACCAAAATGACCGTTTCAGACTTAAATATTGCTACTAGGGATACTAATGGTTAATTATATGGTGTCTAGTCTAAAATACACACGGACAGCTGATCAATTTTAACGAGATCGTGCTTTGTTAACTGTGTCTTTAAGACTGTTTGTAATTTTAATATACGTGTTAGCTTGTTATAAATATATCTCTGTATTTCCATTAAAGACGCCCCTAAAAAAAAAAGGAAAAACAGGAAACTAAAAATGAAATAAAATCTAGGGGCCAATATTTAAAAGGTCAATTGCTCATTTTAATCAGTTAACATATTAACATGATTAAGACATCTTGAAAAGCTAAACATTTGTGTGTCCTAAAATATATGTCAATGATCTATATTTATGAATATATTACGTTAGATGATCTTTTGATGAAAACTAATTAATGATGTACTGGCAATAACTTTGACAGGGAACTGAGTTTAGTTATTTTAACGTATTCGTAGATGTTGCGTCGCTTTTACTTTTTTGCTTTTACAGCTTCTGCATTATCTACAGTTTTTAAGAAAGTAAAACAGATAAAATTGATAGATGAATCATTTTTGAACCAATAAAATTGAGAATTGAAATGGGGAATGTGTCAAAAAGACAACAACCCGACCAAAGAGCAGAAAACAGCCGAATGCCACCAATGGTCTTCAACACAGCCAGAAAATCCCGCACCCGGAGGCGGGCTTCAGCTGGCCCCTAAACAAAAATGTGTACTAGTTCAGTAAAAAATATAAATGAACTAAAATTAAAAAAACATACAAGACTAACAAAGACCAGAGGCTCCTGACTTAGGACAGGCACAAACATGCGGCAGGATTAAACATGTTTTGTGAGATCTCAACCCTCCCCTGTATCTCCAGCCAATGTAGAATAATCAAACAATCGGCAATACGCACAGTAAAAATCAGATTAAAATAAGTCCGAGTCCGATGTCAGAAAAGGTAACAGAAGAAACTAAGCAAAATGACAATGATGCATAAATTAACAAAGGACTACGAGCAGTTACTGACATGCCAGCTCCAGACTTCAATTAAACTGATTGAAAGATCAAGCACAATCCCTCCCGTTATGGGTTTAGCGTCATACCATCATAAGATATATGAGAAAAACATAACCTCTATCATGCCAACAACTGGTTTTAGAATAAATGTGTTTATTTCCGATGCAATCAATATTAATTCTTTAATGACCTGACAACAGTTTCGTAGCTATATCCCTTCTGAATAAGTCTGTTTAAAGGTTTGGTTATATTTTGAGGTGAATGACGACATTTTGTGCTTTGTATAGAATATTACCATAAAAGATTGGATGTGAAATACCTGAACGTATACGATGTCTGCATGTTAATTTATATTTACGAATGATGTCCTTGTCCCGATGATAAAACTTAATAAATGTTTTGACTAGTTTGTGATATCGAAAACCCTGGTGTAACAATTTTTCAGTAATACAGAGATATCTTTCGTTAAGATCAAATACGTTCTAATATACAAGCGCGAATCGATAAAGTTGAGATATATAAACACCCTAAGATGGTGACAAGGGAACGTAACCCTCTAAAAATGGATAATTAATAATAAGGAATGAAAAATCTTCTCTTTTATCGTAAATTTTAGTATTAATCCTCCCGTTAAATATATAGATATTAAGATCCAGGGAAGTGCAGTGTTTATTGTTAGTATTAGCTTTATTTAAAGTCGGTTTAGCAGGATAAATCTCTTTAGTGTACATTCTGAAGTCGTCATTATTGAGAGCCAAAATATCATCCAAATATCTAAAAGTGTTATTAAATTTTTGTGTAAGATGTTGTTTTGATGGATCTTTGCTGATTTTAGTCATAAATTGTAACTCATAACAATACAGAAACAGGTCCGCAATAAGTGCATATGCACGCATATGTACCAAACTAAGTCTCCTATGCATATATATTACATGTTTCACGAATTTATATTTGGTGGAGAATTGTGTCATTTACAGTCATTGCACATCTTCTTATCTTTATATTATTCTTATGGTTAGATATTCAAATCATTTTTCCTTGAAAGATGTGGTCCATGTCAAAAAACTTATATAGCATATATATGTTGGATATCTTATGACAGTTTTTTTTTATGATGCTGACCATTTCATGTAAGCTGGGAACATAAACATTTGTATATCGAAATAAATTGATCATAGATACCAGGCTGAACATTTTTGTTTTGTTTTCCAGACCCGCATTTCGTCAACAAAAGAATCATCAGTGACGCTATAATCAAAACAGTTAAAAAGGATAAAGACAGTACGAAATTGAAGAGTATTGAGGACCCAAAACTCAAAAGGTTTTGCCAAGTACAGCTAAGGTAATCTATTCATGGGGGTAGAACATCCTAAATATTTCGAATAATTCAAGAAGTAGGTCAAATGTGAATGAGACAGCAAACCAAGAAAACAAAATGTGATACAGGGAATTTAGAGGTCAACATAGATTGTTCAATAACAAGCAAGTATTAAAGCTATATATAAGCTGTAGGTATTTTATAGTATGAACAAGGTAGTGGGGATTGATTTATCAAATGCCATCAAAACCACAGTTTAAGTGAAAGATTAAAAAAAAAAAGCATCTACAGTAAATCACTGACTATGTTATCCTTATATTTAGGTCATGGCATCAAGTAAACCTGTAAGATGTGGACCTTGTAACCAAGATAAAGTAAGCATAAAAGCTGACATCTGGTGTTACAACTGTGATGAAGGATTATGTTCAACATGTTCCGGTCATCATAAAAGATTTAAATCTACAGTTGATCACAAGACCATCGATATCCAAACCTACTACAGACATAAACATCCCGTATGCTCTATTAAAACAGAATGTGACGCACATGGTGAACATTTAAACTTGTACTGTCCCAGTCATTTAATGCCTTGCTGTGATGAATGTATTTCAAGTCATCATTCAAAATGTACAGGAATCAAAAGCTTAGCAAAAGTAGTGGACGAAACCAAAATAGACAATTCAAAAGGTTCTGTAGAGAAAGAAATTACCTCCATCCTACATTTCTTAAATAAAATGGCTAATGAAAAATCAAGAAATATAAAAAAAGGGGAACACCAATATGGAAGCATTAAAGAATCAATCAGTAACATTCGGAGGGAAATAAATCAACATTTAGAGCAACTAGAGAAGAAGCTATGCAAAGAAGCTGATACTACATGGGATCGGGAGAAATCAAAACTAAAAGGCTTTATATCTGAAATTGAAGAAAAAAAGAAAAAGGTAAAGAAAATACAAGATGATTTGCACGCAGGCACAATACGTACGTCTAAACTACAATCGTTTTTATGGATACATATTGTTGAACAAAAAGTACATCAATATCGCCAATATGTTGAAGATGTGGAAAGCAATAAGGAGGCTAATCAAGTTGACATCCAAATTAGGCAAAATGGTGAGACAGAAAAGATACTTAGCGAATTAAAATCATTAAAAACCTTTGGAGATGTGAAAGTTGTTAAATCTGATAGAACCAAGATAAGAGTAACAAGTTTGAACAGGAGAGCACAAGTAGATTCACGAGAACAATCTAACATACACAACATGACAATGAATATCTTGACAAAAACAAAGATGAACATTGGAAAGTACATCAGTGACATGATTTGTCTGACAAATGAACGAGTTATAGTAGTTGAAGAAAAAGGTAAAGTCAACCTACTTACTTCTGATGGCAGACTTCAAAAACAGTTACCAATATCTGATAAGCCTTTCAGTGTTACACAGATCAATCAAGACACTATTGCCATAACTTTTCCTGATAGGAAAGATATTAAGATCTTCAATTTGGAAACAGAAACAGTAACCAAACTTATCACATTAGGCAAAGCATGTATGGGATTATCATTCTGCAATAATTATCTTGCTGTTGGTTTGAATAAAGATGAAATCCGCATTATAGACTTGGATGGAAATGAACTCAAGTCAATACAAGTTAAGAGTATATCATACCTAGAGTACCTTGTGTACTCTCATGACAGAGTTATCTATACTGACTACGATGATAAAGCAGTATACTGTTTTGATGAATCAGGTACACAGGTCTGGAAATATACACAGAGTTTATTAGGACCACAGGGACTTTGTACAGATACATTTGGCAACATTATCGTAGCAGATTGGAGATCTCAAAGAATAATAGTAATATCAAAAGATGGACAGGATAGTAAAATATTGCTCAGTGAAGAGGATGGACTTAATAATCAAAAATGTATTTGGTATAAATATAATGAACCGTACGGTTTTTTTTGTGACAGTAGTGGCAGATACTTGGCAAAATTCAACTTTTCTAATGAATGAAAACAAACATTGAACATTCTTGCTATTACCAATGAGAATACAATGTATCTTAAATTAAAATGAATATTAATTGATGTGCATATAGGCAAGTGATGGATTGAACTTAGACATGAATATTGCAAACATATATTGATTATCATTAAAATCACAATGGTATTTATTCAAACTAAATCATTATTTGTGAAAAAAACAGATATATAATAGTACTGACAATCCTAATTACAAAAAGGAATCATACATTATATTCTATGTGTTGTCAGTAATAGATAACAATATATTATAAAGATAGATTGGTATGATTACCAATGAGACAACTATCCCCTAGATTCCAAATGAAGTGGATTTAAGCAAAACAATAGGTTACCGTATGCCTCCAACCATGAGCAAAGCCAAAAGCGTATAGTTAGTTCTAAAAGGCCCGGATATGACACAATGTAAAAAAATTCAAACGAATAAAAAAACAATGGGTGTTTAATGACAAAAAGTTTAGACTAAAACAAATTTACTGACAGAAACAAACGACAACCATCGAAAACCAGGCTCTTGATACTAGGCAGACATATACAGAATGTGGTTGGGTTGAACTTGTTTGTGAGCACTGAACAGCGGCCAACCTAACCGTGGACAATGATGTAACAGCAACTCATAAGAACAACCTGTAAAAGTAGGCGTAATGGCTTAACTCATCAAATCAGCACTTTTGGACTATCAAAATGGAAAATTTGTCTACGTTTATCGATAACATAAACAGTTTTATTGACTAACGAGGAACACTTAAGAGTCAATCTCTGGAACAGCCCGTGAACTAAAGGTTTATATAAGGATTTCTGGAAGATTCCATAGGATCAGTCGATTTTCAAAGGGATTTTCCATCAAACTTGAACACTTAAAAAAATGATGGAATTTATATGTGTCACATACATATACTAGTGAAAGTTACCATGAAATTAAATATTTTCATCAATCTTGCTGACATTTGTCAACAGTCGGGGAATCCAATGAACTCGGTTTTAACTCGGCGTGGTCTTTGCAATGTAATTAAGCGGACCACCAAAAGGCCAACTATCGTATAATGACAATAACACAACGAAATACAAATGAATAAAATATAGAGAACAAGTCTACCCTGAATACACACAATAAGGCACACAAAACGTTTCTGCAATAACTTTCATCGAGGCAATTCTACACCAAGAGTGCAAATCGAATCATATAAAATGTTTTAAATCATTACAATCTAAAAGGTATCAAAGAAGCTAATGTATTGAACACATAACAAAACAGTATAGTCTCTAATATGAACTACACGTGTATTCTTCTTACCTTTTGACTGAATTCATGTTATATGATTTGTTTCTGGCACGATTTGAATAGTGCATGTTTAACAAATTCAGAAATATAAGCTTATTGTAATAAAAAATCTAAATTCTTCGTTAGAGGTTTGACCGCTCAAGGAATTGGCTGTTTAGTTAACGCGCATTTAGATTGTATACCCTCTAAGTTGTCTATTTTCCTCTTGCAAAAGATTTGGTCATGTGCGTACCGTAGAGCACGTTTGTTCAGAATTTCCATAAAAAAATCATCAATATGTTGTGAATTTAATGCAAGGTAGATTATTAAACCAAGGTAATAAAGAATGGCTGGAATGACAGTATTTGAAGTTTATTTATTGCGTAACATTAGTTTTATTGAATTCAACTGTAAAAAGATTTTTTTAAACACTTATGTTGTTCCTCGTTGTCAAATACAAGCTTTTAATTTTTTTGTGAATTGTGGCAAATTGTTTTGTTTCTTATGGTTAAGAAATTTCGTGTTAAATTTGGCTAAATTAATTTTTTCTTAAATTATAACTTTTCTGTACCTTATGCTTTTTTTTTTGTAATTTTGAACATATTATGCAAATAATAATAATCGCAATATTAATTCACAGTACTAACATAATATATGACTTACTACGTATTCTTTTTATTTACCATCTATGAAAGTTACCCTTAAATATCCCCTTGGTCTACATGGTTTTTCTCAATTACTTTATCTTTTTAGATTTTGATTAGGACAAAAACAAGATATGATCATTTGCTTCAGTTTATAAGGTATATTAGATGGTTTATTTTTGAAATATACCTCTTTTAAAAATAGAAAATAAAATAAACTTGTTTATATTAATTATTCTTCAACCTTAATATGAGTTGATTTATCAAATTCATTTATAGTGTGTTCCATTTAATATTTCATTTGCCTTTTAGTGAAATCAATACTTAAATGACGTGTACAGCCTTGACTGACTTCATGTTAAGTACTTTTACTATTGAAATTACACAATAAAATTGACCTTCAGTCTAAATGTAAAATTTCTATAGTGCACTTATATTTTAAGATATCAACATACTATTTTAAGCAACTGAAAATAAAATCAAATTTTTCAAATTTTGGTAATCAATGATCTTCCTTGGAAGCTTATGTCAATTTGTATTAAGCTTGACGCCTTATCAACATCAAGGTAAATCGTACATTTTTTATATTTGTTCCAAGGCTGATTTTTTTCTTATTCTATCAAAGATTCATCGACATACCTAATGAGAAAATTTAGTACTTAGTTAAACTGACAATTTCTGAAAACAAAAATCATATCTTCATAAAAAAACATCACGATACTTAAAAATCCATTATTTTGGTCAAAAACAAACGCCAACATACATAGAAACGGACTATTTGATAACAACTACCATATTCCTGACTTGGAACAAGATATTTTAAGAAAAAATGATGGGTTGAACATGGTTTTATGGCTAGCCAAACCTCTTCTTATATGGCAATATTAAAAATACCGCTAAAATGACAACATTACGTGACAGGAATACATTTCAAATAGACGCAAGAACACTCAGGACAGAGACATACATAAATAAATAATATGATAGTACATTACAACATGTAAACCACAGAATAACAACATGTAAACCAAAGAATAACAGCAATTACACTAGTCATTTTGGGGTTCTTTATAGCTTGCTGTTCGTTGTGAGCCAAGGCTCCGTGTTGAAGGCCATACTTTGACCTATAATTGTTAACTTTTTATACATTGTGACTTGGATGAGAGTTGTCTCATTGTCTCATTGTCACTAATACCACATCTTTTTATTTATATGTATCAAACTAAGTACTCTATGCAAATATTTTACATTTTTCACGAATTTATATTTAGTGGAGAGTTGTCTCATTTGCAATCATTGCACATCTTCTTATTTTTATATAATATTTTGTGGTTATATGATGACATCATTTACACTTGTATGATGTGGTCCATATCAAGAAAGTTATAAAGCGTATATTATACAATTATAGCCTTTGTATGAGGTCGATACAAGGATATATTGACCTGAAAGAAGAATATTGACTGAGTACGAAGTCCGAGGTCGATATACTTCTTTGGGTCGATATATCCTGTATTGACCTCATCAATAGGCTATAATTATTATATTATTAATTTCCGACCATATTTGTATCAAAATTCTGATTTGATTTTTTGATTTTGTTGGAATTTTATAGATATCATATTGTCTCCTAGACATAACAACATATAAGTTGTTATTTCATTTCCTTTTTTTTTTTACATCTTATGTATATGAAGATTTTTTTTCTTCAAATAATCGATCAGAGATATTTTTTTATAAAACTTTTAACAATATCATGAAATTCATAACATGACGTCACAAAGTATATCGGTTTTTAGATATTCTAAATATAACCGTGCAATATGCTTTTTGCTGTGCAATATGCTTTTTGCTATCCGCCGTTTTCTCTCTACCTTCGAAAATATAGTTTAACATGTGACTATCTCTGAACGAATCAAATTAGTTAAAAAATACGAATTAATAATATATATATATATTGTATATCTTATGGCGGTTTTTATAATACGGACAATTTAATGCAAGCTGGAAAACTTATAATTTGTATATCGAAATGAACTCATCATAGATACCAGGCTGAAAAGTTTGCTTGCCAGACTTGCGTTTCGTCCACAAAAGACTCATCAGTGACGCTCGAATAAAAAAAGGTAAAAAGGTCAAATACAGTACGAAATTAAAGAGTATTGAGGACCCAAAATTCCAAAAGGTACAGATAAGGTAATCTATTCATGGGGTAGAAAATACTAAATATTCCGAACAATTCAAGTAGAAGTAGGTTAAATGTCAACGAGACAGCAAACCAACGACACAAAATATGGTACAGGATAATTAGAGGTCAACATAGGATGTTCAGTAATAAGCAAGTGTCAAAGCAAAATGTAAGCTGTAGATATTCTTTGGTATAGACAAGGTAGTGGGGGTCGATTTAGCAAATGCCAACAAACCACATTTTTAGTGAAAGATAAAAATAAAGCAATAGTTCATATTTATAGTTACAACTGACTATGTTATTCTTATAATTAGATCATGGCATCAAGAAAACATGGACGATGTGGACCCTGTAAACAGGATAAAGTAAGCACTAAAGCTGACATATGGTTTTACAACTGTGATGAAGGATTATGTTCAACATGTTCCGGTCATCATAAAAGATTTAAATCTACAGTTGATCACAAAACCATCGATATTTAAACTTCTAAAATATATATACATCCCATACGCTCTATTAAAGCATAATGTGACGCACATGGTGAAAGTTAGACTTGTACTGTCTTAGTCATTTAATGCCTTGCTGTGATGAATGTATTGCAAGTCATCATTCAAAATGTACCGGGATCAAAAGCTTAACAAGAGTAGTGGACGAAACAAATATAGAAAATTCAAATGAATCTGTAGAGAAATAAATAACCTCCATCTTACATTTCTTAAATAAAATGGCTAATGATAAATCAAGAAATATAAAAAAAGAGGAACACCAATATGAAAGCATTAAACAATCTATCAGTAAAATTCGGAGGGAAATAAATCAACATTTAGAGCAACTAGAGAAGTAGCTATGCAAAGAAGCTGATACCACATGGGATCGGGAGAAATCAAAACTAAAAGGCTTTATATCTGAAATTGAAGGAAAAAAGAAAAAGGTATAAAATCAGAAAATTTGCACGCAGGCACAATACGTACGTCTTAACTACAAACATTTTGATGGATACATATTATTGAACAAAAAGTACATCAATATCGCCAATATGTTGAAGATGTGGAAAGCAATGAAAGGGGGACGAAAGATACCAGAGGGACAGTCAAACTCATAGATCGAAAACAAACTGACAACGCCATGGCCAAAAATAAAAAGACAAACAGACAAATAATAGTACAGATGACACAACATAGAAAACCAAAGACTAAGCAACACGAACCCCACCAAAAACTGGGGGTGATCTCAGGTGCTCCGGAAGGGTAAGCAGATCCTACTCCACATGTGGCACCTGTCGTGTTGCTTATGTTATTACAAATCTGGAAAATAGTCTAATTCGGTAAGTCACATTCGTGAAAAGGGAGGGTATTGTAGTTACGACATAAGGAACATATCCGATATCATCTGTGAAACGGTTATTCCATAACGGTCAACCAACTCGTGATGGCGTCCGTAAAATTAACGAAGGGATGACTTCAACTTCACCATTTGGAACTCTTGAGGAGGCTAATCAAGTTCACGTCCAAATTAGGCAAAATGGTGAGACAGAAAAGATCCTTAGCGAATTAAAATCATTTAAAACCTTTGGGGATGTAAAAGTTGTTAAATCTGATAGAACCAAGATAAGAGTAACAAGTTGGAACAGGAAAGCACAAGTAGAATCACGAAAACAATCTAACATACACAACATGACAACGAATATCGCGAACAAGACAAAGATGAACCTTTAGAAGTACATTAGTGACATGATTTGTCTGACAAATGAAAGAGTTATAGTAGTTGAAAAAAAAGGTAAACTCAACCTACTTACCTCTGATGGCAGAAGCAGTTACCTATATCTGATAAGCCTTTCAGTGTCACACAGGTCGATCAGGATACTATTGCCATAACTTTTCCCGATAGGAAAGATATTAAGATCTTCAATATGTAAACAGAAACTGTAACCAAACTTATCACATTAGGCAAAGCATGCATGGGATTATCATTCTGCAATAATTATCTTGCTGTTGGTTTGAATAAAGATGAAATCCGCATTATAAACTTGGAAGGAAATAAACTCAATTCAATACAAGTTAAGAGTATATCATACCTAGAGTACTTTGTGTACTGTCATGACAGAGTTATCTTTACTGACTATGATGATAAAGCAGTATACTGTTTTGATGAATCAGGCGGACATATCTGGAAATATACATAAGATTTATTAGGACCGCAAGGACTTTGTACAGATACATATGACAACATTATTGTAGCAGACTGGAGATCTCAAATAATAATAGTAATATCAAAAGATGAACAGGATAGTAAAGTATTATTCAGTAAAGAGGATGGACTTAATAATCAAAAATGTATTTGGTATTTACATAATGAACCGAACGGTTTCATTTCTGACAGTATTGGCAGATACTTGGCAAAAATCAAATGTTCTAATGGAATGAATATAAACACTGATCAATCTTGCTATTACTAATAAGAATACAAAATCTCCTAAATTAAAATGAACATTTATTGATGTGTATATAGGCAAGTGATGGATTGAACTTAGACATGAGTTTAGAAAACATGTTTTGATTATCACTAAAATACCAATGGTATTTATTCAAACTTAATCATTTTTCTTCAGCAACAAATATTTGTGAAAATACAGATAAATAATAGTACTGACAATCCGAATTACAAAAAGGAATCATACACTATATACTATATACTATGTATTGTAAGTAGTAGATGACAATATATAATAAAGATAAATGGTATGATTACCAATGAGAAAACTATCAACAAGATTCCAAATAACGCGGATTTAAATAAAAGTAAGAGTAGTACCGCTGCTCAATAGTCATAAATCGATATAACTGAAACAAATCCGGGTCACAAACCAACACAGAGAGAAACACATCAACTATAAGAGGAAACAAAACGGAACAACAGAAACACTGAACTGCTACAAAAACAAACGCTCACATACATAGAAACGGAGTATGTGATAATAACTGCCATATTCCTGACTTGGTAGAGGACATTTTAAGAATAAATGGTGGGTTGAACCTGGTTTTATGGCTATCCAAACCATATGGCAATGTTAAAAATACCACTTAAATGACAACATTACGTGACAGGAATACAGTACAATTAAATGCAAGAACATTCAGGACAGAGAAATACATAAATAAATAATATAATAGTACATTTGAACATGTAAACCACAGAATAACAACGAACAACTAACATTAATTCACGACAGAAAATAAATACAGCACAAAAGAATGATAAACCGTACGTCAGACGAATGTATCAACGCCACAAAAAGTGACGTCACTGGTAACAATGAGCAAAGTCAAACGCGTATAGTCAGTTTTTAAAGGCCTGGATATGACAAAATGTGAAACAATTCAAACGAAAAAAAAAAACAACAACAACGGGTGTTTAATGACAAAAGTATAAACTGAAAACACATATTACTGACAGAAACAAACGGCAACCCTCGAATTATAGGCTGTTGATATTAGACAGATATGTGGTGGGGCTGAACATATTTGTGAACACATAACCAACCTTGGACAATGATGTAACAGCAAAACATAAGAACAACCTGTATAAGATAGTGGAAATGGCTTTACTCATCAAATCTGCACGAAGCACAAACAAAACAACTGACACTAATATACAACTGACACAGTAACGATTTTAGAGTACAACACGATGGGTACCACACGTGGAGCAGGATTTTCTTACCCTTCCGGAGCACCTGAGATCACCCCCAGTTTTTGGTGGGGTTCGTGTTGCTTAGTCTTAACTTTTCTATGTTGTTTTGTGTACTATTGTTTATCTGTTTGTCTTTCTCTTTTTTAGCCATGGCCTTGAAAGTTTGATTTCGATTTATGAGATTGAATGTCCCTCTGGTATCTTTCGCTCCTCTTTTACAGTACAAGAAGCCGTTCTAATCAACATAAATCTATAGCTTGTACTTATAGTTAATTTCCTTGTATAGTTCTTTGTACTTAACAGTTCATGCGATTCCCTTTGTTATCTTGATTTGTATTCTCAATCTATTTATGAAATTTGAACATTTGTAAACTACTGTTACATATTTAGTGAAGGTTTTAAGATACATTTGAATAGATGAAAATTCGTAGTCTTTCTTTTTTTTTCTTTCTTGGTGTTGTCAATTTTTCAGTTTTGAATGTCCTTTTGGTAAATTTCTACCTCTTTTTACTTAGATGCAAAGAGTGCTTGAATTTTCTATTACAAAATGTTTGATAAATAGATATTTTCTAATCATATAAGGCCTATTTGCTCAAGCACATGAGATTATGCAATAATTGTCATATTCCGTATCATTTAAAGGGTATTTCTGAAGAAAAAAAATATATATCTTGTCACTAGCCACGTTTTACTGGAACGCTTATTAAACTTTAAAACGAAACCCAGTCAGTCAGAGTTCAAATTATCTAGCGAATAAACATAAGCACGGATTATTATGGAGAAAAGACTGTAGAGATATCTTAGACAACCCTACAGAAAATAGCTGGTATATTATTTGATGGATTTAAATAGATATGTTGAAAGCAACTGGGAATGTCCATGCACACACCTGGGACCATCAAATCATAGAAGTTAGTCTGTACGGCCTCAAGCAGTTGGAAAAATCATGCGCATGAAGCACATAGTCCCTGATGGTTTGGGTTGGTGAGAAAAATACTTCTTATCATAGTGATTTATCATTAGATTTCTCAGATCACACCTCATTGCAAAGTCCCTTCCCTTGATACTGTCTTTGTGCTAATTGGATAGTCTTATTAATTTTTTAACCATTCTAGCCAAAATTCAATGTCATTTGCATGATTAATTATATAGGTGAGAAGAGCAAGCCATAATCAGTGCTTTTGGGAGTTTTTTCGTACTCTTTCTCTCAATTTCCTGTTTTGGACTATAAAAATGAAAATTTTGTCTACGTTATTCGTACAAAAATATGGAGTTTTATTGACTAACGGGGAACAGTACAGTGTCCATCTATTGACCAGTATGACAAGTAAAGCTTTACATAAAGATCTATGAAAGATATCATAGGTTCAGGACAGTTAAGGGGATATTCCATTCAGCTTGAACACTTCAAAAACTGATGAAATTTATATGTCATACATATATTAGTGAAAGTTACCATAAAATCAAACATTTCTAGCTTATAAAATTCAAATTTCAATTAAAAAGATTGATAAATGGATAGTAACACCTTACAATATAGACGAAGAGGTGCATTAGAGATGATTATTATCATAAATTCTTTTTGTGTAACATCTTCAACTGTTTAATGCAGAATATATTAATAATTGACTATTTATTGATCCATACTACATTTGTATCATATTGCGGCATAATTTGGATGTTTTCAAAGACATAACATTCAAATAATACATACATATATTTTGCAAATGGGAATTTTGACTTGGATGAATCCCGTCGTGGTGCTCATCCATTAGTTCAAAACCCGGTGATAAGTCTAATTCGATAGGTCTAATTCAGCGGAAAGGGGACGGAATTGTAGTAACGACAATAATATGATTTGTTTTAATAAATCAACAGGGTTCTTGTTTTGTCTATGAAATTAGAAACAATTGATGTTGTACAGCTAAAGGGAAAACGTTTGTAATTCTATTGTGCGATATAACAATGCACTCATTACTTTTAATTGCGTATCAGATATCAACACAAAGTTTGGATTATATTTTTTTTTGTCAACAAATCTAAAGTTACACTCTTTATTTGAAAGGTCAACAACACACTGGAAGAATAAAATCACTACTGTAACACTGTAGATATAACTCTCAGAGTCTTTATATGTATAAAAAGAAAGGCTAGTAAATTTATTTCCGCTTTATCGAGTCAACAAGTGGTTCAGACATATTTGAAACAATTACCAAACTCAACTTTTTGTTTTTGTAGTGTAACGAGCGAACTTGGACAATTTTCTGAATAGTTTAGACGATTCTTGTTGTTTGCACTATGCGATTGAACGCGGTTATTCTTACAGATTTGCATTCAAATAAAAGAATGAAATAAACAAAACAAAACGTTATTTTGTAAGGAATTTTACCAAAATTATATACTCGGGTGTTCATAGGTTAGCTGGGAGGGTGTGTTATTTATAACCGGGTAATTAACCAATCATGCAAATCACAAGAATCTATTAAGAAAATGACAAGAAATAAGAAAAAATAAGGTTTACATCTAAGTTTTTGTCTATTTTTTCTTTGTTCTATGGTAGGTAATAATATAAACGGTACCAATCAGTAATGCTCGAGGCCAAACCATTGGAAGTTCAAAACCTAATGTTAAAAAAACCCACATTTTATTGGTGCCTTATTAATTTTGAAGTCTAACCAATTTCCTACTTGTTCGTAAAGTTGTTTCATCACTAGACCTATACTTGTTGTCGTTTAACTTTTAATTGCTGCAATGTGAAGATTGCTGGCTGTGTGGTACCTGCACATAATTGACTGGGGAGGAAACACATCAAACAACCAACCTGTTACATTGGCGTCAATCCATTACTTTTTTCAAGTAACTTTGTTTCTTATTGAAATACTATTGTATGCCAAGTGTCGTGCTAGCATATCAATATCTGTTCATGAATAGATATGAATCCCTGCCATACACAGTTAATGTAATTAGTCATATAATTTTAGACTAGATACAATAGTTTTACCTTATGCATGTATTAGAACTATAAACTACTGTATCATGACAAACGAAAAACTATAATCCCATGAGGTATATTGGTGACACAGAATGCTATTTTATTTTTATGCAACTTTTATTTGTTACAGACTGTTAGGTTAATCTATGTATTTAGTAATTTATGTCATTTTTCATTTTTCGTCACATTGACGGCAATATATGTATGTATGTATGCATGTATGTATGTGTGTATGTATGTATGTATGTATGTATGTACGTAGATCCCTCCGTTTACGGAGCACCCCTCAATATAAAAGGACTTTGTAAATGTATTTGATATCATCTCTATCATGTATCACGTATGGTTATTTCATTGATACCATCTCTATCATGTATCACGTATGGTTATTTCACTGATACCATCTCTATCATGTATCACGTATGGTTATTTCACTGATACCATCTCTATCATGTATCACGTATGGTTAATTCACTGATACCATCTCTATCATGTATCACGTATGGTTATTTCACTGATACCATCTTTATCATGTATCACGTATGGTTATTTCACTGATACCATCTCTATCATGTATCACGTATGGTTATTTCATTGATACCATCTATATCATGTATCACGTATGGTTATTTCATTGATACCATCTCTATCATGTATCACGTATGGTTATTTCATTGATACCATCTCTATCATGTATCACGAATGGGTATTTCACTGATACCATCTCTATCATGTATCACGTATGGGTATTTCATTGATACCATCTCTATCATGTATCACGTATGGTTATTTCACTGATACCATCTCTATCATGTATCATGTATGGTTATTTCACTGATACCATCTCTATCATGTATCATGTATGGTTATTTCACTGATACCATCTCTATCATGTATCATGTATGGTTATTTCACTGATACCATCTCCATCATGTATCACGTATGGTTATTTCACTGATACCATAAAATTGAGAATGGAAATGGGGAATGTGTCAAAGAGAAAACAACCCGACCACAGAACAGACAACAGCAGATGGCCACCAACAGGTCTTCAATGCAGCGAGAAATTCCCGCACCCGGAGGCGTCCTTCAGCTGGCCCCTAAACAAATATATATACTAGTTCAGTGATAATGAACGCCATACTAAACTCCAAATTGTACACAAGAAACTAAAATTAAAAATAATACAAGACTAACAAAGGCTAGAGGCTCCTGACTTGGGACAGGCGCAAAAATGCGGCGGGGTTAAACATGTTTATGAGATCTCAACCCTCTCCCTATACCTCTAGCCAATGTAGAAAAGTAGACGCATAACAATACGCACATTAAAATTCAGTTCAAGAGAAGTCCGAGTCTGATGTCATAAGAAATAACTGATTTCACTGATACCATCTCTATCATGTATCACGTATGGTTATTTCACTGATACCATCTCTATCATGTATCACGTATGGTTATTTAAATAATACCATCTCTATCATGTATCACGTATGGTTATTTCATTGATACCATCTATATCATGTATCACGTATGGTTATTTCACTGATACCATCTCTATCATGTATCACGTATGGTATTTCCCTGATACCATCTCTATCATGTATCACGTATGGTTATTTCATTGATACCATCTCTATCATGCATCACGTATGGTTATTTTACTGATACCATCTCTTTCATGTATCACGTATGGTTATTTCACTGATACTATCTCTATCATGTATCACGTATGGTTATTTCACTAGTACCATCTCTATCATGTATCACGTATGGTTATTTCACTGATACCATCTCTATCATGTATCACGTATGGTTATTTCACTGATACCATCTCTATCATGTATCACGTATGGTTATTTCATTGATACCATCTCTATCATGTATTACGTATGGGTATTTCATTGATACCATCTCTATCATGTATCACGTATGGTTATTTCATTGATACCATCTCTATCATGTATCACGTATGGTTATTTCACTGATACTATCTCTATCATGTATCACGTATGGTTATTTCACTGGTACCATCTCTATCATGTATCACGTATGGTTATTTCACTGATACCATCTCTATCATGTATCACGTATGGTTATTTCACTGATACCATCTCTACCATGTATCACGTATGGTTATTTCATTGATACCATCTCTATCATGTATTACGTATGGGTATTTCATTGTAACCATCTCTATCATGTATCACGTATGGTTATTTTACTGATACCATCTCTATCATGTATCACGTATGGTTATTTCACTGATACCATCTCTATCATGTATCACGAATGGTTATTTCACTGATACCATCATTATCATGTATCACGTATGGTTATTTCACTGATACCATCTCTATCATGTATCACGTGTGGTTATTTCATTGATACCATCTCTATCATGTTTCACGTATGGTTATTTCATTGATACCATCTCTATCATGTATCACGTGTGGTTATTTCATTGATACCATCTCTATCATGTATCACGTATGGTTATTTCACTGATACCATCTCTATCATGTATCACGTGTGGTTATTTCATTGATACCATCTCTATCATGTATCACGTATTGTTATTCCACTGATACCATCTCTATCATGTATCACGTGTGGTTATTTCATTGATACCATCTCTATCATGTTTCACGTATGGTTATTTCACTGATACCATCTCTATCATGTATCACGTGTGGTTATTTCATTGATACCATCTCTATCATGTATCACGTATGGTTAATTCACTGATACCATCTCTATCATGTATCACGTATGGTTATTTCACTGATACAATCTCTATCATGTATCACGTATGGTTATTTCATTGATACCATCTATATCATGTATCACGTATGGTTATTTCATTGATACCATCTCTATCATGTATCACGTATGGTTATTTCACTAAAATGAATTTCTTTATGAAATTGCTATGTAAATACTAATAATCACAATATTTATTCACAGTACTTACATACATATATGACTTACAATGTATTCTATTTATTCACAGTACTTTAATACATATATGACTTACAATGTATTCTATTTGTTTACAATACTTTAATACATATATGACTTACAATGTATTCTATTTGTTTACAATACTTTAATACATATATGACTTACAATGTATTCTATTTGTTTACAATACTTTAATACATATATGACTTACAATGTATTCTATTTGTTTACAATACTTTAATACATATATGACTTACAATGTATTCTATTTATTCACTATTTTTCCGTTATGAAAGTTTTCCTGAAATATTTCATTGGTCTACATGGTCTTTTCTCAATTACTTTATCTTATTAGATTTTGATTTGGACAAAAACAAGATAATATCATTTGCTTCAGTTTATAAGATAGATAAAATGGTTTATGTTTGAAATATACCTCTTGTAAAAATAGAAAATAAAATAAATGCTTAACATAATTATTCTTCAACCTTGATAGAAGTTGATTAATCAAATTCATTAACAGTTGGTTCCATCTAATATTTTATTAGCCTTTTAGTGAAATAAATACTGAAATGACGTGTTCATCCTTGACCGACTTCAGGTTAAGTGCTTTTACTATTGTAATTACGCAATAAATGTGACCTTCAGTTTAAATGTAAAGTTTCTATAGTGCACCTATATTTTTAGATATCAACAAGCTATTTTTAACAAGTGAAAGAGTCTTTCAAATTTTGGTAAACATTGTAACGGGATCTTCCTTGAATGCTCATATTGATTTGTATTAAGCTTGACGCCTTACCAAAACCTAAACCTAATATTATTATATTTGTTCCAAGTCTGATTTCTTTTTTATTTTATCAAAGATTCTTTTACATACCTAATGAGAAAATTTAGAACTTAGTTAAACTGACAGTTTCTGGAAAACAAATGATATGACTAATTTAGCGTAAAGAACACATGACAACGTCAGGCTGACCAGTAAAATGCTGATGTAGTACATACAACTGAATGTGTCTATAATCAAGGGGTGCGCGTACAAATTTATATGTGATATAAAGTTCTCATTTAAATAACACGTTTTCTATGTTGTGTTTTGTGTACTGTTGTTTGTCTGTTTGTCTTTTTCTTTTTTAGGCATGACATTGTCAGGTCATTTTCGACTTATGAGTTTGAATGTCCCTTTGGTATCTTTCGCCTCTCTTTTACTGCAATTTTCCGTTCATTTTTGAAGATTTTCAAAATATTGCCATTAGGCATAAACGTAATCATTAATAAAATTGATTCTATCATTACTGTAAGAATTCATTAAAGAGGTATCCCTTGGCAATAATTAAATATTCAATTCAATAATAATAACCCTAATAATTCATTAGTTTTGGTTGTTTTTTTTTAGTTTCCTCAAAATACCTGGTAAATTTTGTATTATTTATATGTCCTATACACATGATAGATGAAAATAGCACTTTATAAATGTCGACGTCTGAAGCGGCCTTCTTCCAAAAGGGGAACAGATAGAATATAATACATATAGGCAAACAAAACAAAAAAAAAAAAAGAAAGAAAGAAAAAGATAATGTGGTAATAAAGACGAATTGATATGTTCATGAAACAAAATACGTTGTTTGGCACAAAGCATCTGATTTGATATGCTCATACCTTACCTGATTAGGAACTTTCAATTGTGATGTTATACTATTTGTATACCCGATACATCTGGGTGTATAAATATGGTAAACAACTAATTTCGACTTTTTTTTAAATTCCTTTTTTACATTGATCAGATCGGAAATGTTAAACATAAATTACCTGATTATTTATTTCAATTTACTATCAGAGCTTAGGTAGAAATAAATTTCTACATTTCAAAGAATCAAGACAATAACCAATTGATTTGGTAATTGGTAGTCAACCATGTTCGTTTAATTAATGGAATCCTTTTGCTTTATTCCATATCAACGTGGTATAGTTTTCCTGTTTAGAAACTGCATGTCATAACTATAGAGATTTTATAGTAGTATTTAAAAAATCGTTCATAATCAGGTTTGTTTAGTACATCCTCCTCTGAACGTATGATGCTTGATCAGTTTGTTTTTGATACATCCTGCTCAAACTTCTTACATGGTTAGTGTGTGTGTGCGTGTGTGTGTGTAGGTGGGTGTGATGTTCAAGGGGGAACGCTTAAATCTGAAAAAATAACGTCCAATTTATACTCCTTATGATTTCGCCGGGAACACAAAATATAAAAAAACATCGAATTGAATCTATACCATTTCATGTCTAAATATTGTAAATCATGTCTATACATTGTCAACATAATATTACTCACTCATTATTGCACTAGTTTGATCTGTGATGCTGTAATTGTGCAAACAGAATTTTAAAAATACAAATTTGAATGCATATTTTTTTTTATTTAAAATTTAAACTTTCATAACAATAATTTGCAAATTAAAATCTTTGTATTACTTGAAACTTCTACAATATCTATTTTAAAGTCAACTGTAAGTATAACTTTTTTCAACCTTTTATTCTATTTTAAAAGACGCAAAATGAAATATCGATAACCCAAATAATTAAATGTGCATCTTTTGTAGATAAAGTGCAAGGTCATTTATGTGCAAATAGTGATATGTACATTTGTATGTTTTAAAAATACTAGTAATGCATTTTAACTATATTGTGGGTCTGTATTTAGTATTAGAATATAATTGTCAAATACATATAACTGATCAAAGAATTTAATTATTGGTTGACATATGAATAATTTGTCGTTGGCGCGGGGATCAGTCGCATGATAGTTTATCTTAGCAGTAAACACTCTGGTAAAGGATTCAATATAAAGGTAAATTTTATACGGATGTTTATCATAAGACTTCAACCTGAGTGTACATAAGTTATTTTTAGCCTCTGAAAATTACCAACTCCCACACAAAATAGGAGTTATATAGATAAAGAGAAACGAAACGACATTATTGTTATATTACATATATTTAAAATTACAAAAGATAGATACATAACACATAAACTCTTTTTTATCTGTTAGGAAATAACTGTGTGTTGCAAAAAGTATATTGTAGCGTCAAAGGTAAGATCAGTAATTCTAACATGTCTTAGTTTGTATTTATTTTTATATATAACAGTGTAAGAAAGAAGTCTATATAAAGTGTGTTAGAACTTGTAGCAATTCTAACATATATTATTTTGATAAAATCTATTTGGCTTGATTATTAGGTTAAACATGTTATCATAAGGCGAGAGGCTTTATAAACTATATAAACATTTATTGTTAATGCGTTTGTATTATTAAACTACTGGTCATTGTCTATTTTAACTGTGCTCAATTGCGGTTATGTATTAGGAAAGCTATTTACTGTGTCAAATATTTGTGTCAGAAATTATATTCTCAAACATCACATGTGCTTTCAGTGTTTTTCTTATTCATACACTTTAATGTATCTAATATTGCATATGCAAAATTGAAGTATTTTGATAAATTCATCTGAATTGTAAGGAGTGTTTTTCCTTTGCATATTTAAAATCAATTAAAGAAGGGAAATAACAATTTTACATAATCAAATATTATAATGCATTTTAAATCATACTTAACGACAACCTTTAAACAGTTTGTTTATACATAGAGGACTCATATAGGCTTTCATGTGTTTCAGCTGTCCAAAGCGGAAGAAAACATTAATGTCTTGTTAACATATACATAACTTTTATTTGTTGCTTCTGATTGGAATTTCATAGTTCCATGCAACGTATACTCTTGTGTGACAAATTCCTGAAGTTTTAGAAGTAGTCATACAGTATTTTAAATGTAGATCTTCCTTGTATCTTACAGAATTAAGAAATTCGTCCGTTGTGATGTATTGTCAAATGAGCTGTGATAGGTGTGAGATGGTACACCGTTTCCCGGAGCATATCAGAAAGCATGTTGTGGAAGTTCTCAAAACTGGCCAAGTCTGTAAGGAACTACTTCATATTGACGACATTTCGTTGTATTTAGAAGTAAGTGGCATATCTCGTCCTCTGAAGACAGCTTGTGAGGAGAAGCTGCTTGAAATAGTCGATGTCAAGAATTCAATAGATGCTTTACAAATTGCGGAAAAGTATCAGCTTTTATCTCTCAAGAAAGAAGCCATAGCGTTGATAACCAAACATTTTAAGAATCTGTGGGATACTGATTCTTTCGAATACCTCCATGAACAAAACTTAGAAAGAATTTGTCAAGTCAAAGACGTTTTTAAACATGATGACATTTTTCGAGCATTGGCAAAATGGCTGAATTGGAATCATGAAAATCGTTTGAAGTTTTACGGTAAACTTTTACATTCAGTCCAAAGACAGCGGTCTCCTCGAAAATATTACGACACCGAAAAAACATACCATTTATATCATGCTATGATCATGCCGTCTATAACATCAAAGTCTACTATAGTAGTTGTTGTTTTCAACTGCGATGGCGATCTAGTATGTCACAGGAAACTGTTTAAAAGTCATGACGTAATGGACAGGTTTTCTGTTGCTTGTGCGCAAAAAGATGAAACCGAAGCACCTTATGTTTACATTGCATCTGGCAAACATGTGGTTCGGTACGATGCTGTTCTATTAAAGCATGAAAACTGTCATAATCTCAATCATCAACGGTCAGAGTGTTCATTGGTGGTTCTTGGAGATTTCATTTACGCTCTTGGTGGCCACCATAAAGGAAACAATGTGTTAGAAATTGAAGAACTGGACATAAAGCACCATCGAAATATGTTATCGATTAAAAAGTCATGGAAAACAATTGCACAGCTACCGGACAACGTAAAACTTTCATTCGCTCCATGTATGACTTATTTTGATAAAATATACATTGTTGCCGAATTATTAAGTGATGGAAATATAAAGTCAACGGGCCTTTTAACCTTTGACCCAAATGAAAAAACTGTCGAAGTAGTGGCCAATTTTTCGAAACATTGTACGGACTGCAGAGCCCTTCTCCATGATTCGAAAATATTCGTTGCTTCAAGCGAGGGATATTTTCTGCAGTATGACATCCGGACGAAAATATTTTCTTTCTGTGCAGATTTACCTACAAAAGGAAATCATTTTGGTATGTATGCTGCATGGAACAGTATTTACGTCGTTGGCGCGTCTGTTTCCGATAATAACTTTGATAGATTTGAAAAAGATGTATATGATATTCAGACAAACAGCTGGAAACAAGAACGAATACTACCATGTAATCTTCCAGTTTATGGGAGCTGTGACATAAAAGTCCCTTCCTACACTCATTTGATCCCATTTAATGATTCAAGGTGACTAGAAAGCCAGTTGTTCAGTTGTATGACTAATATCTCTGATTTATTGCTTTCTATATAGTCATTGTTTTGTTTTAAAATTAAATTTTCAAAATGTGAATTATATGTTGAGGTGTTCCTATGATTAAAACATTTGCCTGAAGGATATAATTTAATCAAGCAAAATTATCGAACTAATAGTAATGCATGCACACTCAAATCAACACATTTGATCAACAAATATATTTGTATGATATTAAGTGCATGTAATGGAATCGCTATCTTGTAGCGTACAATAAGAAATGATGCATGCATTAGAAAAATCATTTCTTAGCTATTTAAACGTTTAAAGATGTTAAAGATGCAGTTTTACCTCGCAGGTTTTGTTCGTTAGTTTGCCATGAAAAGGATCGTGATCAAACCCAACACAGAAGTCATGGAAGTAGTAGAAACAAAAAACAGGATTAAAACACAAGTTTATCTTCTTTCTTGTTATTACAGAATTGCGCATTTTTTTCGTGAAACTAAATCTTTCAAATAATGCGTTATAGATTTTATCAATTCGTTGAAAAAAAAAACCCAACCAGGGTTATCAGCGTTCGAATTCTATATATATCTACATAGTACAAAGATTTTAAACTATAGTTACTAATGTAAAAAGATAAAACCTGACTGGTATTTTGAAATATGGATTAAGGTTGAAAAGTGTGAGAGCATTCTCCAAATTTCACGATGAGTCTTTCAAAGTCAAAGGTCAACTACGGTTCAATTTATCTTTTGTGTTTTAATTTGTTAAAAAGGACATAGAAGATGTCCTGTGAAATGTTTAAAAAGAAAATACAGGAAGAAAGAAAACTATTAAATATACAAAAGGCCTTAGCATCAATGAACTTTCTTCGTATCGACAACAAATCAACATGCAAAATTTTCATGTGATTTTTAAATCACGTGATTAATAATGCATTTGTTGATTTTCAACATGTTCAATGCAAACAATTTTCAAATATTTTTTTTTATTTTTATCTTTTAGTTTGCTTTTGTCAAATCATGTTTTAACGATTTTGCCGTTTTGTAATTTATTGTCACAACCGTTTTATATTTTTGGCTAACCTAGCTTTAGGCATTTAGCGTTCCATATGAAGGTTATTCGAGAAAACAAGTCGTGTGCACACAAATCGTTATCATACGTATTATTGATTTGAAGCGTACTAAAAATCTGAGTTGTCAATAGACGAAATGACATGATAAAGAGAGGCGAAAGATATCAAAGGGACATTCAAACTCATAAGTCGAAAATAAACTGATAACGCCATGGCTTTCGTAAAATTTACGAAGAGATGAACTTAACCACTTAAAACTCTTGGTTTAATAGCCTCTTTGTGAGCAGCAACCCCCTATTAAGGAAATCATGATAGGAAATACAAGCCCTGGAATATCGTATCAACTGGCAGATATATACTCCGTATGCAAGCGCTGCATGAATGTTGCTACATAAAAATGGAAGGTTTACAGTTTGGAAGCTGAAATCATCTCTTTTGTCATAAACTTTTGTTTTCAACCGACCCTCATTGTCGATTTCTAGATATAAGTCAAGATATGAGGCAAACTTAACTGTATCTGTTGTATCCTCAAGGGCAAGTGTTATACTACAAAAAAAACACAACAAACAACAAACACTCTAATCCCAACAAAAAAAAAAAAAAAAAAAAAAAAAAAAAACAGGAAAAAAAGAAGCATACAAAGAGCATGCAAGATTTCTGCTCCTATTCTTGTCGACTTGTTTCTTTGAGTCATATGAGGCAGACTTCATACAGGAGTTTCTCAAAAAAAGGAAACAAAAGCTAGCATTATCATTTAACTTCACATTCCGCTATTAAGATGATGTACTCACTAATTAATCAAGTGTTGGTTGACTATATTGATTATTTCCCTCCCATCGAACTTGCATACAGCAGATTTTTATGTGTTTACCTATGTAATCAACACCTACAGTAGCGATAGCCGGTAATAGGTTGTGTCAATCATTCAATATTTTAGGCCTTATGTGGTGAAAAATACCTATTTGCGAAAGAACGCAAACTGGATATAAGTTGTCTTTTTGTTTTTGATTGTTTTTGATTTTCGTTTTTTGCTTTGCTTCGCATTTACGTAACTTTACAACACACTTTTATTCTGAATCCATAGGGCTAACTAGGGTATAGACATATGGTAGTTCCTGAACCTCCCGTAATAGGAAATCACACTCTAAAGAGGGAAGAACAATACATAAATACGCTACCATGTCCGTCAATAATGGGAACAACATATTCTATACTTCATGCATCGAGAATGCAACGCTTTCTGGACTGAACAGAATTCCTTCAATAACTGCGAGGATAGCTTTAGGTATAGGTTGCCTGTCTCAAGGCAAATGTCTATCTAACATACTCGTACCAATATTATATAGAGATGGTCGAAACTATGGTGCTTTATCCCGCTTGACATACTGTAAAACCTTGATATTGGATTAAATGTGAATTTGTTCTCGTCCTTAAAAAGAATATTTGCACTGGTCATTTTGCAAAAAGAAAAAAAAAGCACAATCGTTTTAGTCTTGCCACACAAAAACTTTAGAAAATTACCGACATTGTTTTAAAAATAGATTTTTGGCAAATGGTGTCAATTCTTCTTAGAACAAATTGTCTCCTGTAAATGCAAAGATATTGAAGAATTATGTTTTTGCCATTTGATAAGGGACTTTCCTTTTTTAATTTTACTTAGAGTCCGGTATTTTTGCTATTTTACTTTTTAATGTAATCTCTTTTATCGATAGATATATGATGCACTTCCAATAGCTTTAGAGTTTTTCAAGTAACGTGATACGTCCTTTTTAATAGCCAGGATCGCAGTTTGTTTTGCCTAGGTGTTGAAATGAAATTCAAAATTGAAAAGAAGTCGGCAATCTAAAATCAAATGCTCTTCAAAATTATGATGAATTATCTTGCTTGAAAGCATTGAAGGCATACATGTAGTACAATCACGTAATTTTAAATATTTATTTCTTTGGAATGCAAATTATGTACTATATATAGAACTTATATTTTCTGAGATCGAACCAATTAAAATGTGTGAAATATCGATAAATCTATAAATGCACGTAGGGAGCGACGTAAATCTGCTAATTTCCCTCCCCCGAATGATATATGTAAAGCATGTAAAATGATATTTTTTCAGTGTTGCACCGTCACCAGGTTACGCGGATTTTCTCTTCTTGTTGTCTATTTCACTTAACATATTGTTACTGATTGTTACTAAAATAAATTCACGGTGGCTCTTAAAAATCTTATGTAATGCAAACGAAAAGCAGTAGCATGTAATTTTTCAAAATAAATTCGGTGAAAGAAATCGCTTTTGTGGCTTGTACTTCATCGCGCCTTCTTTACAGTTTTAGATCTAGTTCAGAATGTTGTAAATGGTTGCATATCTTGAATTAATTAGTGCTTAATAAATCATTGTTATTTATTCAAATGCAGACAAACAAGATCAAAATGCATTCCAAAAATCTAAACCCCGAAATACTGTCTAATTGCTACGCATAGTTCACTTAAAGCAGGAAAAAGATGTGTATTTAAAAATACTATATATAATCACCCGTGGGTCATTCTAACTTGGGGTCTTTAAATGTAATTTGATCATGAGGTTTTCAACTAATGGCTCAAAGGACATCAATAAAGAGTTGAAAATAAAATGAGGAGGGATATAAATTCTTATTGTTTCGAGTAGAAAGAAACACAACCAGCCCTTAAAAACGGAAAACGCAACAGAACAACGCATTGCTTGGAGTATTCCACCTGCCTGCTCTTGGTCGCTGTGATGCCTTCAATCCGAAAATAGCAGTCATTTTGGGGCCTTTTATAGCTTGCTGTTCGGTGTGAGCCAAGGCTCCGTGTTGAAGGCCGTACTTTGACCTATAATTGGTTACCTTTTTCACATTGTGACTTGGATTGATGGTTGTCTCATTGGCACTCATACCACAATTTCTTATTTTTATTCACTACACTGGCATTTCACTGAACTGCTTGCAGGCGTCCTAACTTCGCCATAATCCTGGACAGCAGCGTAACAATCCAACATAAGAACGAACTATCAATATCACCATGCTACTGCTGTGTGTATGCTATAGAATATATATATGCGTGCTTGTGGTGTGAGCCCTTATAGTTTACAGTTGTAGTTTTTTAGGGTTGTGAGAGAGCTGTCTACTATAAGTTTTTAATATTACATATTATATCTACCCTCTTCTATGGTTTTATAAAGGTGACTTTGTATATGCTCAGTCTTGGTTATGTGTTTGTTTTACTAATGTCTTAATGGCGACCAATTAACTGCATTTTTTTATTAGAATTGTATTTCCCTTTTCTACTCATCCAGTTATTGGGATCCTTTGCCTCTTTTACTTATCTATCTTTATACAATAATTTATAATGATGTTACGAAACGGACAATTACAAAAAATCTATCAAAATTTCGAATAGCAACGTTCTTAAAAAAGCCACATTCCCAACATAATTGTTACTGCCGCTAATAGAAAAGAAACTTTACCTCCAAATTTAAACATGTTTCACAATTGTGTTGAAAAAAGTAAAATAAAAAAATGCTGAACTCCTAGAAAAATCAAAAATATCAAATGGCAAAATTAAAAGCTGAAACAAATCAAACGAATGGACAATAACTGTGATATTCCTGACTTGATACAGGCATTCCTGACTTGATACAGGCATTACCTTATGTGGAAAATGAGAAATTAAACCTGATTTTATAGCTAGCGAACTTCCCACTTGTATGACTGTCGAATAGAATTCAATTATAACAAGGTGTGAGCAACACAAACAGACATGATATGTAAAAATGTGAACTATTGGGGTACATTTTTATATTGACAACAAGGTGTGAGCAACACAAACAGACATAATATGTAAAAATGTGAACAATTGGGGTACATTTTTATATTGACAACAAGGTGTGAGCAACACAAACAGACATAATATGTAAAAATGTGAACAATTGGGGTACATTTTTATATTGACAACAAGGTGTGAGCAACACAAACAGACATAATATGTAAAAATGTGAACAATTGGG